ATTTTTAACGGTTTTTTCGATATATCTCGAAAAGTAACAAAGCAATCGATAGTTTCAAAAAATCAGTCGATAGATCTTTTTAAAACCTACAACTTTCTTATTTAAAATTTTTCAATCTGTGCTATATTTTTTAAATTATTTTAGAAAAACCGTTTTTTTCAACTTTGCGATTTTTTTTAACCATGTTCGCCATATTGGATCGAGTTTAAAGAACAAGAAACTCAATTTAAAATTTAATTTTCTATACGGTCATATTTTTTTTGTCCAGGTAATAATTTCTGTAAGCATTTCTATTTTTCTTAATCAGTGTATCGCTTACCTGCCGAATTTGTTCGCCACCATGCCACCACCAAATCCCCCTAGCATGCCTCCGATAGCGAATATAGATACTGCTATCGAATAGAGTTTCTTCACATAGTCGTCGTTGACGTCCACCCCGTATCTGTTCTTGTAGACGTCCTTCATGAAGTTCTGAATGTTACCTTGCGGTGCGTTGATTACTCCAGTGTTATAGCCAAACTGCAACATCCCCAAGACCGCCGCGAGGATCGCGTACGACAGGAAGAACGTCAGTCCCTGAAAATATCGAAATATTGTGTCAGCATCTATCAATTTTCGTTGTGCAGCGTCAGGCCAAAAGCATAGAATAATAAAAAATGTTCGCAAAAATACTACAGTGTGCCCCACGAGGAACAAAATCGATATAGGAAAAATACATGTTAAAAAAACAGATTTATTTTCTAGGGCTAGAAAAAAAGTACTGACTTTGAAACCAAGAATACATTTATTTGGGATTTATTTTCTGTCAGGATTTATTTAAATGAAGAAACTGTACTTATTGCAAGATTTATGATTTACATTTAGTGTCAAAAAATTAATGCAACAAAAGGACCCCGCACGGAACACATGAAAAAAGGTCTTCCGGTGAATTCGGCTGAAATTTTGCAGAAAGATAGTTTTCAGTATGCTCATCAAAAGTCTCAATGGGCCCAAAGCCCAATGGGCCCTCCTTCACGTCCTAAAATGGGGCAAAAGTGGTCAGTCACTGTGCGGCGGTAGGGTATCGACATGCTGTTATGGATAAACATATCTAGATATTATTGAAAAGAGATCTTAGCATGCTCATCAGAAGTCTCAATGGATTCAAGGACATGTGTCTGAAGGTCCAATGGGCCCTTCTTCACGTCCCTAAACGGGATAAAAGTGTTAAGTCGCTGTGCAGCCTTAGGGTATCGATATGCTGTAATGGATAAACATCTAGATATAATCGGAAAGAGATCTCGACATGCTCATCAAAAGTCTCCATGGGCCCAAGATCCAAGGAGCCTTGCTTCTCGTCCTGAAATGAAGTCAATGTCGATATTTACCCTACGGTGTTGGTATATTGATATGTTGGAACGGATAAACATACCGACACATTATTTGGGAAGATATTACTTAAAAAGTTTTCAGCATGATCATCACAAATCTAAATGGGTAAATATATCTGGATAAATATACAAGCGTTTCAGCATGCTAACCATAATCTCAATGGGGCCAAAGCCCAATGGGACCTTCTTCTAATCCTAAAATAAGGTGAAAGCAGTCTCTTAGTATGCAGCAGTGCCTTAACAATGTGCTGTTTTGTCTAAGCATATCTGCATATCATTTGAAGTTTTCCCCTATGAAGAAGATTAACGCGTTCCCTTTATTTTGTAAAAACTTGAATCAGTAATAGGGTATACCACCTCATAGTCTTCAGAAGCCACTGAAGAATTTTCAGATTTTAGATTTTTCCTTAAAAGGACTATTGGAAAGGAAATTCTCAATAAATGTGTAATGTCTGCAACTATCCTGCAGGATAGAAAGTAAAATAATTGAAAACTCTCGCGAATTATCCTTGAAAGGATGAATTGTTCCTGCGCACGCGTGTGTGTGTGAGTGTGAGTGTATCTATTCGATAATATCTGGATATGTTTATCCATAACAGCATGTCGATACCCTAAAGCCGCACAGTGACTGACCACTTTTGCCCCATTTTAGGACGTGAAGGAGGGCCCATTGGGCTTCGGGCCCATTGAGACTTTTGATGAGCATACTGAAAACTATCTTTCTGCAAAATTTCAGCCAAATTCACCGGAAGACCTTTTTTCATGTGCAGGGTCCTTTGGTCACATATTCTTAAGACAAATTTAGGGGACCTGTATTTTTTATTTATGCCAAGTTTTCTCTTTTCTGAGATATAAAAAAAGACTATTCTTAGGGGCGGATTTCAGGGGGCTGTAACTCCAAATGAGGTGGCCATTTGGTAAAAATAAAAAATACGTGTGCCCTAAATTTGTCTTAAGAATCTGTGACCAAATTTTGTTGCATTAATTTCGGAACATCAGCTTTGGTACAATTCGAATTCTTCAATTATATAAATAAATTTTGATGGAAGAAGAATTTACTTAGTTCAAAGCTGTGACGTGATTTGATGTGCTATTACAGACATACTAAATAAATGTGTTATTGATTCAAGGATAGCGATTTCTTTATGTGACTATGACAGAAGAAGGGCGTCACTAAATAGACACCTTGCATATTGTTTGTTTATTATTATCCTTCTTCTTATTAACTTTTGTCAGTGGAGATATCCAACCATTTTATTTTTGTTACATATAAAATAAATTACCACGTATTTATAATCTTCTGGCATACCATATCAGAAGTCAACTCCAACTTTGTTAATTTAAATGGAACGCTGTTAAGGTAAAAATATTAATACATATCTATTCTATATCTAAATTTTTGTATTTGCAGGACTATCTTCGAAAATAATATTGTCGTAAATAATTCGATTGAGGGTTTAGATAATGTATTTTCTAATGAAATTTCCAATATACCCGTATACCAATTTATTGTTATTGACTTTGTTTTTCTCTTCCTCGTTAACAAATATTTTTAGCTGACGGAAAAAATCTGTAATAACGTAACTTTTATATATACATAAAAACACCACATTATCTAACCTACTTAAAATATACAGGATGTTCCACCTAAAAGGGATTCTTCTGTAACTCTGTAACTGTAAAATTGATAAAAAATGGTTTTAATAAAAGTTGCCTGGAACCATGTGGGCCATGTAAGGAAAATATTTTCAGCTTTACAAGGTGTTCCATTTCACGTGTGCACTACATAACTTTGTTATTTTAAATGGAACACCCTATATATGATTGCATTTTTGAATTCCTTGGTTAATATTAGGTAGAGTTTATTGAATGTACATGGTTTTTAAAACTTACCGTTTTCGAGATATTCAGTTGTTTTTGAATAAAATCACGATTTCAGCTCTCTAAATGAGGCTAGATAGCGTCTATACCGTAAGAGTTGACAGTTCGTTGTGGCATAAATTACTCTATCTTGTCATCTGTGAGCAAAACGTGTTATCTTATTCAGACACGGAAATACTGAGACCTAGATTTAATAATCTTACGAGTTGAAAAACTCTTTTTTTTAATGGAATGACCCATATTAATTGTCTTGCGTAAATGCAAAATTGAATGCTCTTTCCACTGGTATAAGGTTGTCCAAACTTATCTTAACAGTTTTCCAAAAAAATCAGGTTCTTTTCTAAAGTCCGAAAAAGTAGCTATGTAACAGCGTCAAGAAGGCCTTGCAAAACCACTTTTCTGTCACGTTTTATCAGGCGTGAGAGTAACAGTGTCAATATTTACTGGCTTGTTTAAAAAGTGGTTTGGCAAACAAAAGTAAACCACTAACAACAGCTAAAACAAAACGCAAAACGAAACAAACTGAAACTCGGAACACAACAAGAAGAAGAATATTTTTGAGTTGTCTGTGTTACGAGAAACAACTACTCCGAGAGCTATATGCTCCTACCGGCGTTGAATTATACTCGCAACACCTTGTTGCACTAGGTGTTGCTCTCGGAGTAGTTGTTTCTCGTAACACTGACAGCTCAAACATTGTGTTACGCCCTCTGTGGGTGGTAGATGTGCAACCAAGTACCTGCAATATAGCAGGTCGCTTCCTACTGTAGCCATTTGAATGGGACAGCTGGGAGTCCGCACGACAGATGGAGTCATTTGCGCTCCCGCGTACAAGAAGAAGAATACTTAGACCGCTGATTTACATCAATTGCTCGAAGTGTCCTCCATTTTGATTAATACACAAACGAATTCGGTTTTTAAAAGACTGTTCAACATTGGTCAGCATGTCTGCCGCAATTTCTTGAAATGCTACTGTAATTAATGCACTGTCACATATCTTCCGCGGTAGTTGGTGGTGTAACGTAAACTTAGCTTTTTCATAAAAAGAAGTCGCAACTTGTCATATCTGGACTCACTGGTCCCCCGCGGCCAATCTATTTGTTGGGAAAAGACTGACGAACCGCAGCAGTATTGTGATCATCTTGCATCCTGGCATCCACATTCTTCGAAGTGTAGCTAAAGGAATATCGCCTAACAAATCTCCTAGTGTTTGTTAAAAAGTTAAATAAACTGCTCCAGTTAGATGCTGGTCAAAAAAGAATGGTCCAATGACATGGGTTCCCAAAATTGCTCTCCACACGTTCAAAGACCATTGTTGGCTATGAGTTGTCCAGAATTGGTGAGGATTTACTGTGTCATAAAATGGCAATTATGACTATTAACGAAACCATTTTTATGAAAAGTAACCTCATCGCAGAACATGACCCGTTTAAAAAAATCATCATCTTGATTTAACATCTCAAGTGCCCACTGACAAAACTCCAGTCTCCTCTGAAAGTCTACTTTTAGTAACTCTGTGTAATTGGATGCGATCAGGATGTGCTGTGCTGTGATTTTGTAAAATCCTATGTATCGACGTTGTACTAATACAATTGCAAGGTCTTCTTGACACTGTTACATAGCTACTTTTTCAGACTTTAGAAAGAAACCTGATTTTTCTGGAAATCTGTTAGAGATAAGTATGGACAACTTTATATCAGTCGTAAGGGCATTCAATTTTGCATTCACCCATAACAATTAATATGGGTCATTCCATTAGAAAAAAAAGTTTTTCAACTCGTAAGATTATTAAATGTAGGTTTCAGTCTGAATAACGTACATGTTTTGCTCACAGATGAGAAGATAGAGTAATTTAGGCCAAAACGAACTGTGAAAACTGCAGGTTTCTAACTCTTACGGTTTAAACGCTATCTAGCCACATTTGGAGAGCTGAAATCGTGATGTTTTTAAAAAAAACTGATTATCTCGAAAATGGTAAGTTTTAAACACCATGTACATTTAATAGACTCTACCTAATATTAACCAAGGAAAGCTAAAAATATTTTCTTTACATGGCCCATATGATTCCAGACAACTTTTATTAAAACCATTTTTTATAAATTTTACAGCTACAGAGTTACAGAAGAATCCCTCTTAGGTGGAACATCCTGTATATTTGCGAAATATTTAATTATATTTTACTTTTGACAGTAAATAATAAAATAATCATCTTTTATAGCACGGCCTGCTAAAAAGAGCAGCGAACAACATATGTATATGCAAATTTAAAATCTGAATTTGTAAAAAAAAATTAAACAATTAATATTACAATTTAAATTTCGGTAT